ATATGCTGGATAAGTTGGTGGTTCATTCCGCTGTGGTGACCCCAGATTAATAAAGGGAATAAGCTGTCCATAGGTGAATTGGGTAGGCTTAGGCTAAATTGTCGGTAGTGAGGCGACAGCACTACCCACTCTGCCACCGCCCTGCCCCCAAAATTAAATTGTCATTTTAAAAATAAAGTTTTCAATAAAATAGTGATATTGAGAACAATATTGAGAAAAAGAAAATTGATTTAATGGGATCTTAAAATGTATAAATTAAATTGTTGATCAATTGTAAAGGTTTTAATTTTAATTATTTTTAAGTGCTTTTTGATCACTACAAGTGTTAAAACTAATATTAAATAAATTACTATTAAAACAATAAAACATACTGGAAAAAACTTGCAGTTTTAGTTTGGCTTCACTTGACTGATATTTGGTTAATTGGTGAAGTTGTAAAAAGATTGAGATTTAGAGATTAGCTGCAGTTGCCCATCCCAGTTTGTCTAATAAAGGTAAAGACAAAGAAACACAAAGTTCAGCGAACAAGATCACTGATCAATGCAACAAAGAAAATATGAATAAATAAAAAATACAGTACACAAAATCATTTATTGAAGTCTTAGCATAAAAAGTGATCTCAAATGTTGATAATTAATGCGAATTAAGTTACTTGCCTGTTGCCTGTATTGCCATGAAGGTACATGAAAATTGGTGATCCGTCCCCTAGAGCCTTCTCATACCACTCTACGTTCTTACCCTGCGCCTCCTTCCACCTATGTTCAGGTACAGTATGCCTACAAACCATTCATAAGAAATAAAGAAGGAAATAAAAAAAGAAAGAAGAAAAGAAAACCTCAGTATTTGTCATTGATTCGTTTTATAGTTTAGTTTTATAGTTATAGTTTAGTTTTTAAAGCATATGGATGACATAAACTAACCACACGCCCACCCTCACACCCTCCTCAGTTTTCAGATAGAAATTTATAGTATGATTAAGACCCAAATCTGAAGGTCGGCTGAGGTCATCAATGTCTGGAAAAACACACAAAATAAACGAGATTAGGAAAAATTGACAAACTGTACACTCTCAGAAGTAAAGGTTCGCAAGCTGTCACATGGGGTGGTACCTTAAAGGTCCATATTAAAACCTTAAGGGTACATATTGGTACCCGAAAAGTACAAAAGTGTTCCTCTTTAAACTTTAGGTACTAATACATACATTTGAGGTACCACACTGTAAAAAATAAATCTGTCAAATTTACGGTAAAAAAACGGCAGCTGTGGTTGGCAGTATTTCACAGTTAAAACACGGTACAAACCGTAAAAGTCATTTCTCATTTTTACAGTAAATTACTGTATTTCATTAATTTATAGAGGTAATATGTCTGTATTTTGAATTATGAACATCTACACATTTTTTGTTACAAAGATAGACACGTTAACACAGCCATATGCAGTTGGTGATGAGAAAGTTACATAATGAACCAATGCTCATCACAAAAAACTTTTCCCACAAGCAGAAAAGAGTTTCAGTGTAAAGAAGGTGCTCAGTGTCATTCACGCAACTAATAAATACCAGTATGGCAACACGCATATAATTAAAGTCATGAAATAAACATTGTTTATCAATATGGGATTCAACAAAAATCTCTAATGTACATAACTGATGGTGAAACAACTAAAAAGATCCATAGTGATGTCAACAAAAAGTATAAAAAGTGAAGTGCCATGCAGCGACTTCTGGGAAAGTCAGTTTACGGTTATTTGCTGTATTTATTAAGGAAACATCCTGTTAACCAGGTTATGGATTTTTACTGTAGCATTTTGACAGTTTTTTACTGTTGAAATCACAGCCATTTTTTACAGTGCAGTATGGATCCTTTAAGTACACGTGTACCTTTTGAAAAGGTACCACACCAGTGATAGCTTGCGTACCTTTATTTCTGAGAGTAAGTCAACACCACATCAATATTTGGCAAATAAAAGTTGCATACCAGAGAAGACATGCAGAAGAAATGGGATTGTTGCACCAAGTATGAGGAGAGATACAAGTCCTATTTTCGCCCATGACCACTGAGAGCTACAGAGAGGAATGCGAACACAAACATGTCAATAGTGTTGATTTTTGACACATGGTTTAGTCTCCAAGATACAGTGCATTCAGGAAAATGCAAAATATGTGATTCAGTCTTTAAAGGTTTTTCCCCTATTGAATTTCATTAAATGAACATTGGATAATCTTAGCTATGGCTTTCATTGAAGATTTAACATAAAACAACAAATTACAAGTAATATTTATGGTGCATGTATGCTTTTCTCATTTCACCACATTGTTTGCTCACTTTTGGTGCATTACACTCATAGACATTTGCTAATTTAGTTTCTGTTTACTTTATGCAGATATCTAGTCAAACTAAAATTATTATTTACATTGATTTAATATTAAATGTTTAAAGTGGCTTACCTTGCATGCACATGTTTAGGCCTAGGTGATGGGCTTGATTGTTGATGTCTTGCAGCTTGAAATTTTCTTTCAGATTTATCGACTCTTCGCCTCATTTTGAGGAGTGAACAAAACTGAACCTATTTACTTTACAAAACGTCTGCAATAATTGACAACCCGGGCTAACACGGAAGTGGATGGGTGTAAAGATCAAAGTGCATAGATTTAACCTTTGTGCACCATGTGCAGGCTTTTGCAGTTTTATTTCCACATGAGATTTTACTTTGCTTCCTATGCATGAGATTTGCCCCAAGCATCTACTGGTTTTGCGTCTCATTTATGACCAATGATGAAAATGAATAGATGATTTAATCAGTCACAATTTGACCACACACAATCTATACAGCAAAGTACAGTACATCACAAATAAAGTTTGATGTAATATTTAATTAATTCATTTATTTAGAAATGAAGAATATTTACAAGCTCATATTCCAGCAAAATTTTGAGAAAACAATGCATCTAAACTCTTATACTTCTGTTAAAAGATTTTGAAGCCTTCCCTGCATTATTCATGCTGCGAAACGGGTGATAGATAGTTTGGTGTCAGTTAGAGTAAAATAATAGGTTTTGACTGTTCCTTAAGCTTCTTCTGTATGTAAACATCTCTGGTTAAATCATAGTAGGCCTACATTTAGAAAACCAGCAGTCTAAACAAATAACAGTACATGAATAATGTAAATATTATTATGTAAATTAAACATTACTTCATTATGAATAATGTTGAGTTAAGGCATGAGCTAATCCAGCCTGATCTCACGAGACAACGTAAGTATTTTCAAAACTCTCACAGCAATTTGTAACTTTTTGATTTAGTGGCTAATTCGTATGATCTAATTCCAACAATTTAGTACAATTTCCTCATCCCCAATGATGGTTGGGTTTAGGGGTGGGGTTACGTGCCACGCCTCCTTTTTAAAATCGTACAATTTTGTACGACTGAACTCATACGAAGTAGCCTAAAACTGGCAAAACGTAAAATACCAGCCTGATCTCACGAGAAAACGTAAGTATTTTACGTTTTGACAGTTTAGTGGCTAATTCGTACGATTGTGTCGGCTAATCACAAAAGAACTTTCTAATGGAAACCTTAAATATTTGTTTGTTTGTTTATTAAAATGAACTTTTTAGTTTTAAAATTACTTATGACGTTATGGTATGTTTGTCATGACTTGACTAGGGGGGAAACATTATCATTAAGCAAACAAAAAACAAAAATGTGCGCACATCTAAAAATCTCGAAGGCAGGTGCTCGATCAAAAACAAACAGTAGCAAAATATCAAAAGAAAATCGGCACACTGCCACTTTAGCTCTCAAAAGATCTTTAATATGACTCACTTTTTTTATCTTTCAAAAGTACTTTAATATCTCTCTCTTTTTTTTACCTCTCAAAAGTTCTTTAATATCACTCTATTTTAGCTCTCAAAAGTCTTTTAATATCACTCACAACATTTCGAACTACAGGTCTTCATCAGATAAAACAATACAAATAGGAGTACTCAAGAAATAGTGATACAGTTCTACACATCACACCTGCAATCAATCACTACAATCAGCCAACAAGCCAGTAAATAAGCACATATACATACAACAATGACAATATGAGATACATACATACCATTACAAAAAGATTTAAAATACAAATTTTAATATTAGTGATATTAAAAGACTTTTGAGAGCTAAAGTGGCAGTGTGCCGATTTTCTTTTGATCTTCTGCAACATTACTCATTCTTAACTGTGAACTGTTTAAGCATAACTGTTACATGCATGTCTGTCTAGTGTATGTTTATATTAAGAAAACATTATAAAAATATTCTGTCTACAAAATGAACAGTTTAAAATGTAAGAGTTCTTGTGTAGCTAAGAATGAGGTAATGTTAAAGAGCCCGTATTATGGGTTTTTGAAAATGCCCTTCCATGTAGTGTATAACACAGATCTAAGTGAAGTGAAATATCCAGCTAAGGCTTAAATCTGTAAGTGTACAGTGTTTAAAACTGTTGATTCATCTATAAAAGAGTCGACTCAGTGCTTCAAACGAGTCGACTTGATAACGAGTCATTAGGTGTTTCGCCATGACGTGACAACGAAACCAAGATATTCACGCGCACGCGCAAACCCGCAAAAAGAGCAGAGTGTGACAAGCTAGGAGATCTCCTCGCCAGTTCTTGGAGTTTTTGCTCAATAAAATAGTTAGTCGTCGGTATTTTCAAGTCCATTGTCTGTATTTACATTCACCCACTGGCAGCTAAAATCCTTACACTATCGAGCGTGTATGCTCTGTGACTACTTTTATAATGTTGATTAGCTGCTGGGCATTTGACTCCGTCTCTCGCTGAAGGCAGTCAGTGTCAACCAATTGCAACAGACTGTCATCGGACCAATCAGCGCAGATTAGCTTCGCGCTAAGGAGGGGTTTGGGAACAAATGAATCACTGGACAATTAATATGGGAGTCGCTGGGATAATTAGGTAAAAATAAATGCAGATTATAAGACAATAAAAGTGTTTTTTGACCTTGCATGCATATTAGACTGTTTTTGGAGACCCTTACAACCAAAATATGACCCTATTTCATGTATAATATGGGCTCTTTAATATGCCCCACCAAGTAAAGTGAGTAGTTGTAAAGTAACATTTAGTTTACATATCAGTACATCATTATTCGTGTTTAAAATACTGGTATTTTTAAGTGTTTCCCACATGGGTACATTTAAATGTGCTCGAGCTCTAGATTTAAAATACTTCAATATAGGCTACCTGCCCGTTTTCTGTTCACTAACGTTTAACATAAAGCACAACAGCACTAAATATGACTTTGTATTGCACTGAGAATTTAGCAAATTTGACTTGGGAGACGACTCAGTTTGCCTCAAAATCTATTGCCTAAAGATTTGTACACTTCTGTATATAATAACTGATAAATAACCTGTAATAACATTGACTGAACACATACACATGTCCAAATTATACAACGTATGTCTGTCAAAGAGATACTTTAAAAACCAAGAAAAACAGCAAAGGTATATAATGATGATGGTGAGGATGATTCTGATGACATGTGAGTCTTCATGCAAGTCTTCAGCAAGTAGTACAGATGATCTTAAGGTTTGTAAAATAGTTTCTATTCAATCCCAAAAGAAGCGAATGTAAAAAATAGTAACACAATAAATTCACCCTACTGAGTCATCTTATAAAATTTCAGAGAAAAATTTTTTTTTATCTAAGCAATGAATGTGTTTTAAAACTATTGCAAACTTATTTACAACACCAACTATAATAAAAAGCTGTTTGCAGTAGCTGAATATTATTTATATTATGATATTAAAGCATCCTCCTCCCACATTGTGCCTCATGCCGTCAGTGACTGCACAAACTCCCTGGAAAATAAAACAGACATTCATTTTGCAGCTATTATATATTATTTTACTGCCATTTATTGATGTACTAAACAATTTAACAATATTATAACATATATTTATAAGTAACTAATTACTTTTCACTGGTTATGGATTTGTTGCCAAAGCTAGTGTATTTCCTATAAAAATGTAAATGTTATGATCAGTAATAATCAGATTCATTTGTTATCACCTTAACATATTTGGCAAACGATGATCTCTATAAAGCCCATTATGAAGATATCCATGCTTTCCATCAAATAACACCAGCTTGACTCGTTCATCTGAGTTCTGAGCCTTTTTTGCAATTCTGTAAATCTGAGCCCCCCAAACAAGCATTTAAAGATTAAAATAAATAAATCAATTTTAACAAAAAACAGTAAATTAATCTTCCAAACCTCCTGAGCCACACTGAAGGGCGACACATGGTCGTCTTTGGAATGGAGAATTAAAATCGGAGTTCTGATTTTTTCCAAACTATCAACAACAAAAAGGGAAAAGGTTTATGAGAGGTTTATATTTTGAAATAGGATTTTATAATGTTAAATATTTTATAATATGATATACAAAGTTTTTTAAAATCATAAATTCAATAAATACAATTATTTTAGTAAAACAATTTCAAGTACTTTTCATCCAATGGAAAGACTATTTTGTTGTTTTTCAGTGGATTGAAGAGGAAGAACTGAATATATGGGAACTTCCAATAAAACTGAAGGAAAGAAAAAAACAGGTACAAATAAGATACACATGTATACCAGATTATAATTTTGAACAATATAAGCTGATCTTGCATACTGATCATCAAATTACAGACATACATTGTTACGTACATTTTATTTTGTAATGTTGTGATGTTCGAATGCAAGTTTTTTAAATAATGCAAAAAAATATATATTGTTGGAAACAGAAAGTAACAGTGTTCAAGTGCTTTAAAACCTTTAAGCACATACATTTATATTTATTATATCTTATATAATTTGGTACAATGCACTTATCATGTACATACAATTTACATTGTACTTATGCTTTAAAATTGTCTGCATGTAGTTTGCGGTAATACTGAAAAAATTGACACTATCTGGCAACCCTTCCTCTTACACTTTAAAAATAAAAATAATAAATAAATAAACATGTATATATGTATGTGTATATGTATGCAAGTATATTTTCCCTGCCCCTGGCATAGTTGTTGGGAGTGTTTTTATTTATTTTTATTTTATTATTATTATTATTATTATTATTTTTAAATATATTATTATTTTATTTTCTACTGCTGTACCCTTTGAGTATTTGTATTTATTTATTCTCTGTACTGTTGTTGTTCTTTTGTTGTTGTTTTTCCTTAATGCATGAATATGTAATTATATTGTTTATTTAGAGAGAAAGAAAATGTGAGCAAAATTGTATTCTACCACCACATTGGAGCAGTTGATGTCTAATGATTCTGTGTATCTGATGCTGTGGCTCTTTGACTAACATATTTCAATAAAAAACAGAGTTAAACTAAAATTGTCTGCATGTAATAACATCAGTAATTACACATATTGTTTCACTGTTGAGCCATCATGCATACCTTAACCCACCTTAAACCTACACATACCACCAAATCTGTCCCAAGCCTTACCCATATCCCATCTGAATAGCAAGATTAGTGTAGTGCGATACCTTATCGCATAACTACAATATACAGTAATTATAACAGCAGTTGAAGCCACTTAATATAAAATGTGACCATTGAATGAAATCAAAGATGTTTAAAACACATCAGATCAAAATCAGCTATTTTAGTTGTGCCATGATTTCAAAGATCCTGAATGCTACTTACCCAGGAAAAAGGATGTCCATATTGTTTGGCTGCCGCTCGCCCACTTAGCATTGCACCCTCGAGTATTATTCCGTCAAACTTTTTTCCTGTCAAGAAATGTGCAGTTTGTCTTTACAGTAAAGAAGTGCATTCAAAGAAATAAAAACTGTTAAAAATATGCATACTATGACACAGAACTACAAAAAATAAAAACTCTTAAGAGTCACAAAGATAAACAAGATTAAAAAATAAAAACTGACCTTCCTCCAGTAATTTAACTGCAACGTTAGTTGTTACACTATTGAAAAGGAAAAATACAGCAGTTAAATTGCATACTGTAGGAAAACATCTTGACACTGATGCAAACTAATGCAAGTATGTTAAATTGTCTTGAAAATGTAGCAAAGGGCAAATTAAAAGCAGATCCTACACACCCACTACCAATCGAGTGACCCCACACACACACCAGGCTGTTTCCACTGCGCTTCTTAATCCAATTATACAGGTATAGAGCATCAGTAGTCAGTCCGGGCTCTGTAGGTTCACCAGTCGAGTCTCCAAAACCTGACAGAGTTTAATATACTTGATTAAGAAATTAAGAAATATTGACTTTGAATTGAGTTTCCAGTGATTGTGGGCTTCAGTCACCTCTGTAGTCCATCACCAAGACATGATATCCAAGAGCACTTAAGACCTGTAGAGCCAAAGCACTTGAGTTATTACCTTTGTTCATGTTCTTGGTCTTTTTTCATAACAAAATAAATGAGTTTACTCACATTTGCAACTCCAATACGATGAAGTGCAGATCTGAAGGGACACAAAATAAGTCATGCAAGAATACAGATGAAAGCAAATTTTTCATCATATTGCAAAATGTGGCAATTTTTGTAGTTAGAAAGTCGGTTAGTTAAAGTAACGTTCTCAAAATGAGGTCTGTGATCCATCAACAGAGGAAGGGAATGGCATGAAGGTGAGTAATTAATAATGTATTTCACATTTTTGGGAAAACTAACCCTTTACATTTCAATTCAATCATAAATGCAGAAAAAAAAAGAAATGTGTCCACCAGACCTGTTGCCTGTAAATTGAATGTTAATTTCTCTACCATAACCCGTTTCTAAAGTCGTTTTAGTGATTTTGACAGTATATCCAACTGGCCTCAGAACTGCACACTGCATGCAACCACAACAGCCCAGAATCTCCACATCCAGCTTCTTTACCTCCAAGACAGTCGGAGACAAGCCACCTGGGGAACTCCTGCAACAATTGGTTTGCATAACCAAAGCATTTCTTGCCAAACTGTCTGAGGGAAGCTCATCTGCATGCTCCTCATCTTTATCAGTGTCTCGACCTGACTGCAGTTTCTCATGGTATCCAAACTGAGTGGACAAATTCTCAAATTTAATGGCCTTCGGCACTTAGGAGAGGTGTTCTCTTCATGGATGAATCTCGGTTTTCACTGTTGAGCGCAGACGGTAGATAGTATTTATGGCATCTTGTGAGTGAGCAGTTTGCTGACGTCAACATTGTAAATCAAGTGGCCCATGGTAGCAGTTGGGTTATGGTATGGAGCGGTGTATGTTATGGAAAACAAACACGGCTGTAAGTTATTTATGGTATTTTGATTCATACCGTCATGAGGCCCATTGTTGTGCGATTCATCCATGAATATCATCTTGCAGCATGATAATGCCCGATGTTGCAAGGATCTGTATCAAAGACTATAGAATACACAAGACATGTCACTTGTATACTTTTGAATGGAGAAAAGTGTAACTATCAATATGGCGAATAAAGCACCGCCTTCTAGTACAGGAGCCAATCAGCGACTACTATATGGCGAATAAAGCCTGCCTTTTAGTATAGGAGCCAATCAGCGATCTCTATAGAAGGACAATTCTCTGGGGTAGCGACTCGGACTAGACGTGAGTTTCTGCAGATTTTGTGGGATAGAAACATTTAGAAATGAAACTAAAGAGACAGTTGTTGTTTAATTTTGTTGGTTATTCCTAATATTAAATTTAATCATAAGCTTGGCAAGTAGTTTTGGAGAATTTGATGTTTCCCTATTCAGACAGAATGCCCGGGCATACTGCCCAAGTGGCGTTGCAAAGATGGCTCCCAAGTGAAATGACTTGCCTTAAAGGGACTTTGTCTGTATGCAATTTCTAGAAGCTGGAAATAACCCAGTTCTTGCATGACTTGCATATTCACTGGACATGCCACCCATTGAGCATGTTTGTCATGCTCTGGATCAGTGTAATGACAGTGTGTTCCACTTCTTGCCAAGATTCAGCAACTTTGAACAACCAATGAACAATACATGAGGCAACTGGTGGTCACACCAGATACTGACTAGTTTTCTGAGCCCTACCTAGTATATTCTTAAAACTTAGTTAAAAAATTTTGGTTCAATATTTATGAAAAAATCCACAAAGATCATCTGCCGCATAAAACCCCTACATATGCAAGCTTAATTGGCTGTTTATTCCACTGCGATGACCCCTGATAATCAGGGACCAAGCCGAAGGATAGTGAGTGAGTGGTAGTGTTTACTCACTTATATTTGGCTTCACTTTACTAATATTTTGTTTAAATAGTGAGGTTACAAAAAGATAGAGATTTAAACATTAGCTGCATATTTTAATACGATAACGGGCAATCCTGCACAAAATTCAGTGCACAAGATCAATGATCAATGCAAAAAATAAAATAAAATGCAGCACACGAAAATCTTTAGTGAAGTCAGAATATAAAGGATTCTATTATGTTAATCAAGGTGAATTGGATTTCTTGCCTATTGCCCCCATTGCCATGTAGGTAGATGAAAATTGGTGATCCATCCCCTAGAGCCTTCTCATACCACTCTGCATTCTTACCCTGCGCCTCCTTCCACCTATGTTCAGGTACTGTATGCCTACAAAACATTCATAAGACAAAAAACCTCAGAATGTGTGACTGATCCTTTTTATGATTTGTGTGTGTGTGTGTGTATAAAAATAAATGACACAAAACTAACCACACGCCCACTCTCACACCCTCCTCAGGTTTGAGATAGACATTAATAGTGTGATTGAGACCCACATCTAAAGGATGGCTGAGGTCAACAAAATCTGAAAAAAAAAAAACACACACAAAAACGAGCTTAGGAAAAATCCATAAACTGTAGAGATGACAACATCACATCAGTATTTAAAACATAAAAGTTGCATACCAGAGAGGACATGTTGAAGAGTTGGAATTGTTGCACAGAGGACGAGGAAAGAAATAAGTCCTATTTTAGCCCATGACCAGTGAGAGCTACAGAAAGGAATGTACACACATACACAATCACAATGTGAATAGTGTTGATTTTTGACACATGGTGGTTCAGTACTCTAGATGCAGTTAAATTAAAAATATCTGTTTTAGTCTGTTTTTTTTTTTTTTTGGGGGGGGGGGGGGGGGGGGGGTGTATGCCTAAAGAACAAAGTACAGAACAATACAAATACAGGTAAATGTCTTGTGGTATTACATGATTTAGAAGGTTTCAAGTAAAAAAAAAAAAAAACGTAATTTTTTTTTTATTACACCATTGCTTCATGTTGTTTGTATACTTTTCTAATTCTTATACAATAGAAGAATAAAAATGTTTTTGGTTGTTAAATTTGCATTTGTGAATATGGCACGTTGCAAATATTAATAACATAAACTTCCTTCTCTATTTTTTTTGAACGAAACTCTATAGTTAGTTATGGCTGGCATCGAAAATGTAACTTAAAAGCATAGCAAATTTATGTAATCTTTATAGCACAGGTTCTTGATTTTCACTGCATCTTTTCTGCATTTGGTGTTTGTTTTACAGGTGTCCGATCAACTTAAAAAAGTGTCTTACCTTGCATGCACATCCTTAAGTGTCAGACTAGACTTTTGCAGTCCTGTAGCAGGTTCACCACCTTCGGATTTATCGACTCTTCGCTTCATTTTGAGGAGCAAGCAAGACTCTGAACCTATTCAAAGTTACTTACAAACTGCCAATATTTGACAAGCAAACCTGCGCGATCACGTTAGTAGTAGGGTGTAAAGAGCAAAGTTCATTGGCTTGGGTGACTTATGTGCGGGCTTTTAGCTTTTTTTCAGCACCACCAAAGAGCTTAGAATGATTAGTGATTCTATCTTTGACCATACTTTCCAACCATTTTCCTATGTGCAAGATTTGCCCTGAGCAGCGTAAGTTATGCTTTTGTGTCATTTATATTATGAAAATGAATAACGTTAGAAGATTTCACCAGTTACCATTTCAAAACTGTCACAAGTAATCAACATTACTAATAAAGTTTAAATTGAATATTTAACGAAATCGTTTATTCAAAAATAATGAATATTTACCAGCTCCTAATCCAGCAGTTTGAGAAAACAAACGCATTAAACCTTTATTCTATAAATATAAATATATATATATATATATATTTATTCTATAAAAAATATATATATATATATATATATACATATATATATTCTTTATTCCCTTTATTTTTATGCCAAGTAAAAAAGACATTGTTACAGAGAATTATTTTTTATAATATAAAAACCCACTTCAACAAACCCCAAACACACTGCCTAACGAAAGTTACGATAGTAAAAAAAAGAAAGAAAAGAAATTATAAAAACAATAATAATTTAAAAAGCTGCCAAATCTTTTTAAATAGAAGAAAAATAAATAAATAAATACATATATAAATATTCTAAACATAAACTTTTATTATGCTATTTTAAAGGCAGAACTACATCACTTCCTGATGCTGACGTCGTTAAGGAAACAACCCATCATTCAGTCGTGAAATAGGTGTCTGCTAGAGTAAAATAGTATGTTTAAACTGTTCTTTAAACATTTTCTACATGTAAACATCTCTGGTTTAATCGTAGTACGTTTGGGTAACTAACAATCCATATAACTCACTCATAAGTTACGTGCTCGCGCGCTAAATTCAAAATTAACTTACCAGTCCAGATTATACAGTTTTTTGATTTTTAACGTTTAACATTCAGCACAACTTTAAGCATGACTTTGTATTGCGCTAAGAGTTTTGCGCATATCTAATTTGGGAGCTGACCGATAGATTGCTTTCAAATCTGCTAATAAATAATAAGTAAATAACATTAACTTATATGGTTGAACAAATACATACGCACGGCCACTCTTCCCCTTATTATCCCAGACATCTTTGTTTTTCATTGTCATTTAGTTTGATTTCCACACAAAGATGCTCCGAAGACCAAGAACAACAGCAAAGGTGTACACGGAGCCAACGACTGATGATGAGGATGAGGATTTTGATGACATGTGAGTCTTCATATACAATTCATCACGCTTTTATTAACAAATCAGCTTCCAAGACTAAGATCCTTTGTTATTGTGTAAGTTACAGAATAACTAGGCTATTTTTTTCAAGCTGTTAATCAGCATTGAACAGTTGTTACAGTCTATTACTTTTTAGCTACTGAAACTAACTCCAAAAATAACAAAAAGGAGGGCAGGGTACAATGAAACCAGTATAAAAACTGCCTGTAAAAATACCAAACTATAAGCTATGGGGCTGCACAATATAGTCAATGTTGAATCAGGGTCATAGTTGATCAGCCCCACATTGGGTGAACTAAATTGTCTGTAGTATATGTGTGTGAATGAGTGTGTATGGATGTTTCCCAGTGATGGGTTGCAACTGAAAGGGCATCCGCTGCGTAAAAACATGCTGGATAAGTTGGTGGTTCATTCCACTGTGGCGACCCCAGATTAATAATGGGACTAAGCTGATAAGAAAATGAATGAATGTTTATACTATAAAAACTATTCAGTGTTATTTTTGTCATTGTTCAATGTCTGTACTTGAACACTATTTGACTTAGGAGAAATCCTTTCAATACCTAATATTTCACTTTTATCTTTGCTATTTACCTTTAGTTGTAATTTGTTTGCTATATTTTATACATAAATCACTCCCCCACAGAGTCATACAAATCAATCTAAAATTAATAAGTTATTTTCAAATGGAGCTATTCAAGCCAGCATGGGCCGGTTTATGATTCTGATGGTATGAAAACCTTGGATAAAAACATCACAATTTCAGTGTATTGTAAATAACTGCTCTGAAATATATAGTTTTTAAATGTGATAAAAAAGCGTAAATATTTTGTCTTTTGAACACAATACATTTTATTTTGAGAAACATTTAAAATAATTTGGAGCAGTAAACATGTCTAGATATTGTAAGTCTAAATAATTCAATTGAATCATTGACTTCTGCTGTCTTCATTAGTTTCAAGAACACAGTTTTCTTTACAGTTTCAAACGGCATTTTTGTATATTTTTTTCTGCTGGAGATACTGTTGTTCTAAAAAACTAAACAAAATAATATACAGTTGAAGTCAGAATTATTAGCCCCATTTAGAATTGTATTGTATTTTTTAAATATTTCTCAAATTATGTTTAACAATGCAAGCAAATTTTCACAGCATGTCTGATAATATTTTTTCTTCTGGAAAAAAGTCTTATTTGTTTTATTTAGGCAAGAATAAAAGCAGTTACACATTTTTTTAAACATCATTTTAAGGACAAAATTCTTAGGCCCTTTTAGCTGTATTTTTTTTCGATAGTCTACAGAACAAACCATCATTACACAAAAACTTGCCTAATTACCCTAACCTGCGTAGTTAACCTAATTAACCTAGTTAAGCCTTTAAATGTCACTAAGCTGTATAAAAGTTTCTTTAAAATATCTAGTAAAATATTATTTACTGTCATCATGACAAAGATAAAATAAATTAGTTATTAGAAATGAGTTATTAAAACTATTACAGTATGTTTAGAAATGTGTTGAAAAAAAAACTCTCTCCAGTAAACAGAGATTGGGTAAAAAATGAACAGGGGTCTAATAATTCTGCCTTGAACTGTATATCAGGAACGGTATAGCAGAAAATTTTGGCGGTTTTAAAACCTTGACTTTTCAAATCTGCGGTATACCTTAAAAACAGTTATTGTTTCATCTCGTAAGATCAGAATTCTTGTGAATTCACAATATACTCTCAGAAATAAAGATACGCGAGCTGTCACTGGGATGGTACCTTTTTCAAAAGATACACATTTGAACTCAAAGGGTTCATATTGGTACCTCAAAAGTATATATTAGTACTTAAAAGTTTTTAGAGGAATACTTATACTTTTTAGCTACTAATTTATACCCTTGAGGTTACAAATTTGTACCTATTAAAAAGGTACCACTTAAGTGACAGCTCGTGTACCTTTATTTCTGAAAGTATATATTGCAGAAATAAAATATTATAATGTCTTTTTTTCCCATAATCTTCCAGTCCTACTTTAAGCAATATATATATATATATATATATATATATATATATATATATATATATATATATATATATATATATATATATATATATATATATATAAATGCAAATGTTGTAGTATGATATTGTAGTATAATATATTAATGGTCTTGAATGGAGGAGAGATGAATGGCCATCTCAAAATTGCACGTTTAGCTGAAACTGATAATATTTTACTGGACTTTTGGAAATAAATTCATTACAAACGACCATCAAAAATATATTTCTAAATGCATGTTGGTTTGCAAAGGGGTGGAAAATTTTATGTACATTTTAGGAAACTTCATCTAGAAAAGTTTGGAAACTTACCAGCCATATTTATTAGATTTTATTAGAATATAGATTTTTTTATTTCACATTTGAGGAAAAGTATTTCAATTGTATCATATAGAAAATCTGTTTATTATAACACTATAATAACACTTTTTTTTGTTATAACACTTTATTATTTTTATCATTTCAAATGTTTTTTCGATAACATGATTTCCATTTCTATGAGAAAAATGGCAGAGAGTACATTTCTATTAGGGATTCAACAATACAGTTAGTGCACGGTTCAATACATACCTCGGTTTTTTTTGGTTCGGTTCTCATGGCTTGACACGTGTGTTTTTTTTATTCTACAGGCAATAGGAACAGTAAGAGGTTAAGGAGAAAAAAAAAAAAAACGATTTATTGCAATACATATTTTGTTTTACTTAAAAGAAAAAAAAAGTACACTATTTCTAGTGTGTTGTATAAAAAATAACACTGAAATCTCACAGCTGCTGGTAGCCCATGTACAAACTGGGGAACACATAAAATCCTACATTTAGAAAATAAACATACATGTGAAGTTAATAAAGATAAATTGGCCATTTCAAATAAACATATTTGGGCTTAAGTAAACATAAATAAACCAGCTTAATTATCTTGGTGCTGAAAAAAATGCGAGACTGTAGTCTGTAACGAATTAAGTGCTTTTATAAAATGACAAAAGTCCACATCTCCAATCACCAAAAATGGCTGCAAATCTTTAGCAATAAACACCCACACTGCCTTTGTTATTGTTATGTGTCTCTCAGAACCAGTTGGGTATGTTTGCTTGAAAGATTCAGCGAGGGATTGTTGCTATTTGGAGGACTTTATTGCCTTCTCTGCTATCCTGCCGTCAGAGAGTGATATTGCTGGGTGATGGCACTGCACATGTGCAGTCATGGTCATACGTGTAAAACAATGCTTGCACACAGTTATTTTTTGTTCACCGTTTTTTCTTTTATTGACATTATGCTTACCAGCAAAACCGGAATGTCCTTATTCAGCAGATTTGAAAGACGCTGGCACTTTGTCGTACTGTTGCCTCACTTCACCGCGCTCGCAATGTTAAAGTGTGGAATGATGATCAAGCGCCCCCTAATTTTAGAGCATAGTGATTGGATATTTACACGCTGGGAGGAGTTTCCTCATCTCAGCTCATGGATTTCGAGGCACACACAGTCCACTCGAGGAGATCTAAAACGCACATAAATTATTTAAAAGCAAAACCAATTTACAATTTACAAGCGTGTATTGAACCGTGGAGGTCGTACCGTATGATTCAATATTATATTGAGAAGCGTGGCATCCCTAATTTCTATGTAGTACTTGTTAAATGTGGCTGCAATAAATTGTAAATACCCAGTTTATTCTCTTTAATTCCTATTAATTCTCATATATTCCTCTTAATTCCCATATGTTTCTGTTAATTTCCACGTAAAATCATAAGCATTGAAAATTGTCCTAATTGACAAATGATACCCTAATGGGACCCTGATTTGTAATATTGTAAACTGTCAGGATCAAAAATGATTCCATGACTCAGGAAGATTCATTATAAAAGATTTAATGTTCTTGCAGCAAGGGGACAATACAGAAGGAAGACAAGAGGTTCCATTCTGGTTGCTCAAAGGGCAGCTCAAAAGTCCCATTTATATGCAGGCGTACAAACAGATGATGATGCATTTTCTTTAATCATTGGTCTAAACAGTGTGCTTCGTAGAATCCTATTGATCATATAATCAAGTTATTGTCAGCACAATATTCCTGCAACTGGCACATTCCAACCATTCACCTGATTGAAACTACAGCTGAGCGTGTGATTATATCAAGAAGCACACACATTTAACATTAATATTGGGTTCCTTTTAAAGTATACATATATAAAAATAATATAAATAGAATATATGGAAATGAATAAAATTTATTTATCTAACATAATTTGAAGAAAAAAAAAAAGATCATGTAGAAATATAATTCCTTATTTCTTATTCCTTCATAATGCTAAATTAATGAAAATGATATCTTGTTACAGGACAGCCAATCAAAAATATGACAGTGAGGAATTAGATGAATGGTTACCAAAATTAAAAGAAGGCAAAGCTAAAGAAGGAAAAGTCCAAAAGGGGACAGATGGATCCACTGAAAAGAAAAAAGCAACCAAGAGGGTTGCCAAACCTAAAGAACCAAAACCTAAAGCAGAGAGGAAGCCGAGAGCTCCACGGGTTCCTAAAGCCAAGAAGGAGAAGCCTAATACAGAGCAACAAAATGAAGATATGGTGCTACTGAAGCCTGAGCAAGATGTGAAAATCAAAGAAGAGGCAAGTCATTAATCTTAATGCTTTGATGTTCACAAATAACTAGTGTAATGTAAGCTTTTGTTTATATATGTGTTATTTTGCCTGTAATTAAAATGAGAAGCAGCAACTTCCCTGAAAACAAGTGTATTATAGGTTTTTTTGCTTTCTTTACAGGATCTTTCTTGCTTCCCTTATAAATATTATTTTCAATTATTTTGTTATTCCCCTTTTATTCAAAGTGACTCTCAAATGTGGAAAGCGTTAAAGAGAAAATCTCTCATCATTTGCTCGTTCTTCTCTTGTTCCAAACCTTAAGATTCTTTCTTCTGCTGAACACAGATGATTTGAAAAATGTTGGAAATAGTTGCCATTGACTTCCACCATAGTAATGTTTGTTCTCAACTATGGAAGCCAATGGCTACTGGTTTCCAACATTTTTCAAAATATCTTTTTTTGTGCTCAGTCAAATAAATAAAGTTTGGAATGAGAAGAATAAGTGAATGATGACAGATGCTTTAGTTTTGGGTGAATTTTTCCTTATATATTGAGCTATTCAGTCAATATATTGAGCCAGATCAGTCGCAAAAATAACACATTTAAAAAATAAAATTCATACATCCACAAAACAATTCACATTTACAAAATCCATTTTTTTTTGTTCAAAACACAATTCATAAATTCACAAATCCAATTTGTAAACCCAACACAATTTGTAAACTTAAAACACGATTTATAAAATCCCAAGTCCATTTTCAAACTCAAAACACGATTCATAAATTCACAAATTCAATTTGTAAACTTAAAACACGATTCATAAATTAACAAACCCAATTATTAAACTTAAAACAGGATTCATGAATTCACAAACCCAATTTATAAACTCAAAACACGACTCATAAATTCACAAATTCAATTCATAAACTCAAAACACAATCATAATTTCACAAGTCCATTTCGTAAACTTAAAACACGATTCATAAATTCACAAACCCAATTCATAAACTCAAAACACAATTCATAAATTCACAAATTCAATTCATAAACTTAAAACATGATTCATAAATTCACAAATTCATTTTGTAAACTCAAAACACGATTCATACATTCACAAAGCCGATTTGTAAACTCAAAACACAATTCATAAATTCACAAATTCAATTCTTAAACTTAAAACATGATTCATAAACTTACAAACCCAATTCGTAAATTCAAAACACGATTCTTAAATTTAAAAATTTATTTGGTAAACTTAAAACACAATTTATAAGTTTACAAACTCAATTCGTAAACTCAAAACAGGAATCATAAATTCACAAACCCAATTCATAAACTCAAAACACGATTCATAAATTCACAAATTCATTTTGTAAACTCAAAACATGATTCATACATTCACAAAGCCGATTTGTAAACTCAAAACACGATTCATAAATTCACAAGTTCATTTTGTAAACTCAAAACACGATTCATAAATTCACTAATTCATTTTGTAAACTCAAAACACGATTCATAAATTCACAAATTCATTTTGTAAACTCAAAACACGATTCATAAATTCACTAATTTATTTTGTAAACTCAAAACACGATTCATAAATTCACAAACCCAATTCATAAACTCAAAACACAATTTAAAAATACATAAATCCATGTAATTTGCCAAAAATATTTATACCAATATTTTACTTGTAATTCTACAAATTTACAAATTGGATTTTGTAAATGTGAATTGAGCTGTGCATGTTTGAATTTTATTTTGTAAATGTATTATTTTTTAGACTGATCTGGCTCCATACTTTAAGTCACTTTGAATAAACCTAGATGTAAATAGTACTAGTTTTGGAACCACTTGAGAAATTATGAGATGATTTGAATGTTTAGGTTAACTTTCTCTTTAAGAAATTCGAAAGTGCTACAAATACATAGTTTCTGGCAATGTTAGAGAAATACAAGCTGTAGGTACACTATATAGTTTAGTGCATGAACAATGAGTTAAACAGTTTCTAGAATAGGATAAAGAGGATATATATTAAATATAGAATCTACCTTGACTGATGTCAGCAGTTTAAGTATAATATATTAATATATTAAACACTAAGATCATCTATTCAGATTGCTTACTTTATTCCAACGTTGTGCTTTATTTTAGAGGTTGTCCATGAACCTGAGCAGTAGTAATGTCCCAGTTCCAAGAGATAATGATGACGTGCCTGGCGAGGGTCCGTCATCAAGCCAGCCTTTCTTCAAGGTGAAAAAAGAGGAGCCAAATGACAGTTTTACCTTTGAAGAACCTGTTCAGAAGAAGCAGAAGACCTCAGACGCAGCCCAGGGAAGACCGATAAAACTCAAATCTACTGGTTCCGTATTGGAAGACCTACAGATGAACTGGGATCCTATTCGGGTGGGTTATTATTAGTTTTTTGAGGTGCTTCATTTAGTGTTGTGCCATACTGATCCATGTTACACTGAAGTTCGGTTTTATTCTTTTTGATGAATTTTTTGACTCCATAACAATGTTTAAAGACCCTCTAGATTTGGACTAGTTTTGTTTCAATACTTATTTCTTTTGTCATATGTAACAGTGTAGATATATGTAATTAATATGGAATTATGCATGTTTTTCTTACATTTTTTGTATTTGTTGTTTATTAGTTTACTTGACTCAGTGATTTGTGATGTATTTGATAAGGATTTTTACTCGTTGAAATAAATAAGTGCTATCTACAAATCGTATTTTTTAATCAAAATGTTCAAGGGGGTTTCCAATCTTAAAGATTCTTAAATCTCTGTATATACAGATTTGTCAGGAAAGTGGGAATTCTACTTTTTTAAAGAAACCACATTTGTCAAAGGGTTTAATTACATGAAACTAGAAAAAGTCTAACTATGTAAGTCTAAATTAATCACATTTATCTTGTTCATTTGTTTATTGTTCCTCATGTAGGTCCTTGCTGAGAAGGCTGGTGTGGCACAGTGGGTGTGCATGAACATTGCACAACTCCTCGAGGAGGAGAACACCATTCCCTTCATGGTGCGCTATAGAAAAGAGCTGATCAACCATATGGATGCTGATGCTGTTCGAGACGTGCAGCAGACTCTTGATGAATTACGGTAAGAGAAAGAAAGAAAGAAAAAAAAGGAGAGACCGATAGAGTTTTTTTGCCCCCCTTTTACACTGATCTGTTTGTGAGAGCTGCTTTCAGTAACAGGCTTGAGTTGAGAAACTGAATTATTAACTGAAGTATTTTTTATTTATTTTTTTGTGTTTGGAAAACTTAAAACTAAAATGCTTTTTGGTCACAGATAGTGACAGTACCTTTCTTATTATTTTATTTGATTGTTACAAAAATGTTATAACCTTGGTTAGGTTGATGAATCAAATGTAACCTGCAGATGGCAGCAGAGATTATCCAAGAGTTAAATGTCTAAACTAGGGCTCACGGGACAGAGTCGGCCCATGGTAACCTTTGATTTGGCCCATCATTCTAACTGAGAAGAGCCTTTAACTAAGATCGTCATTTTGAATTTAACATAACATTTTTTGTTTGTTTTATTGTTGAGTTGAGCTACAAAAAAACAAACAGAAATTAAACATTTTAATTAAATGTTGTAAATGAATCGGATAAAAAAAGAAGTAAATACTGTCTCTTGATGGATAGAGGACAGTGCACAAATCATTGCGCGAAAATCAATGTAAAAGCTCAACTTGTGTATTCAGCATTGTGTAATAAATGAGGTTTATTTAGTGTTTCCTGTAATTTGTTCAATATGAATACATCTTTTGTAATAATATTGCATTTGTTTATATAAAGCAATTTTTTCCAGTCTTTTTAAATATTAGGAAAATAAATTAGAAAAATACTCATGGCAACAGTTTGCTATATTTATCTTCGGCACACAGCCCGAAGGTAAATTTGGCCCTCAATATGAAATTTTCTGTACATACCCTACTATTCACAATGTTAGATTTAGTTATAAAAAATGTATTTTTCAGCATTGCATAAAATGTATTAAAAATTAAAGTATTGGCAAAATGTTACAAAATAATTTTGAATATATGCTTTAAATGTTTTTAAAAATTCCCATAAATAAATACTGAAAAGAACAACTGGTTTAAATTTGAATATTATTATGTAACATACATGATAGCTGCTGAACATTCAGTTTTGCCATTACAATAATTAACTGCACTTTATAATATATACAAAAACGGAAATCATTGATTTTAAATTGCATTGATATTTTCAAGTGTTTTATTGTATTTTAGTTCAAATGCACTCTTAGTCAGCATAGGAGACTACTTAAAAAATACTGTACCACTTTTATATTAGGTGCCCTTAACTAATATGTACTTACACTAAAAATAATCATTTGTTACAATGTACTTATTTTGTAAATACATTTTTATTGCACTTCTGATGGATTAAATGCATGCATGTAATTAATCTTTGTTAATTTCACCTTTATGTATATATGATTGTCTATCCTTTACACCTTAACCTCCAACCCATATCACCAAACGTGTCCCTAGCCCTACTCGTATCCCACTTCATGTAAGCCAGAAGTGTTCTGCTATATATTATAAAAGGCAGGCAGCAGACAGGAATAAACAAATAAACGATGCAAGAATCAAAAACACAGCAAAGCAAGACAAAGGAAACGCATTGTAATATCACTTAACAGATAACAAGACTCAACAATGAGTGTCTCAAAGTGAGCTGTATATATGTGTGTGTGATCAGTACTTGAGCAGCATCTGCTTAACTGGGATCTGTAGTCCATAACATGGCGGATTTGTAGTCCTTAAGCGATCTGCAGCTACTAGATCGCTGGTTATCATGACAGTAAGGCCACCAAATATAAAGTGGGACCAATCAAACAATTACTGGCTTTAGAATAAAAAAAAGAGACAACATTTTTAGAGTTCATGTTATGTATGCATTTTAGTTCCGTGGCAAAGAAGAGCAGATCTGTTGCTCAGACACTAAAGAAGGAGGGAGTTCTTACTTCAGAGCTGGAAATGGCTTTGAAGAACTGCACAACGGCTGATGAAATAGAACACGTGGTGAGCACTCAATTGAAAATGTTCTCAGTTATTAGCTTATTACTGTAAAATTGTAATAATTTTGTGAGTTTTTGAGGGATCTACTAATATCTTAAACTCCTTTAGTATGCCCCTTATAAAAAAGGCAGTAAGTTGTCCAAGGCCCGGCGAGCAAAGGAGCTTGGATTGGAACCTGTTGCGCTGGCTCTGCTTCATTCTCCACAGACACTGAACCTGCACGCCTCCATCCAGCCCAACACTAAGGGTATTTCAGCCTTTTACATGATGAAACAATTATTAACAAACACGTAATTAGTAAATACAGTACATCCAGAGAAATTGAAAAATTTAGGAGTCTCTAATTTTTGTTTTACATACAGTTGAAGTCTGAATTGTTAGCCCCCTGTATATTGTCCCTCCGATTTCTGTTCAATGGAGAGAAGATTTTTGCAACACATTTCTAAACATAATAGTTTTGATAACTCATGTCTAATAACTGATTTATTTTATCTTTGCCATGATGACAGTACATAATATTTTTCTGGATATTTTTCAGGATACTAGTTATCAACTTAAAGGTTAATTTTAAGGCTTAACTAGGTTAATTAGGCAAGTTAGGGTAATTAGGTAAATTATTGAATAACAATAGTTTGTTTTGTAGACTGTTTAAAAAAATATTGCTTAAGGGGGCTAATAATATTGACTAGGGCTGCACAATATATCGTTTTAGTATTGAATAGTCGATCATTCACAATAGTCGCATCGCAGGATCTGCAATATCAAGTAGAGTTTATTGTTGAGCAGGAGCTGTAACCATAATAGAGTAAAAACATAAAATTTGCATGTGTTTTAAGGACTGTGACTGCTTCAAGATTTATTAAGGCACAACAAACTGTTTTGTTATGTAACTTTAATAAAGGGTAATTTGACTGAATTAATAATATGATGAAGACTACAGTGTTATTTTACATTTGCTTATTCAATTTCTGCACCTGAATACTATTTATAAAGTACAGCACTTTTTATTTCATTCGTTTAATCTGTACTCCGATGTATTTATCGCTGTTTTTTTAAATACAAATGATTCAATCCCCTCCAGAATCATCACAATCAACTTAAAATAAGGGATTATTTCCAAATAAAGCAATCTGGTTAAATTGTATTTATATCATAATATTTATTGCATAAAATTAAAATATCGCAATGTCAAATTTTTTTCAATATTGTGCAGCCCTAATTTTGACCTTAAAATGTTTTTATTTATTTATTTATTTATTTTTATTAAAAACTGCTTTTATTCTAGCCAAAATAAAACAAATTAGACTTTCTCTAGAAGAAAAAATGTTATAGGAAATATAAGTAAAATATTATAAAAAATATTATTTCAAATATTTTGAAGAATTTCTTGCTCTATTTAATATCATTTGTAAAGTATTTAAAAAAGAAAAACTATTCACAGAAGGGGGGAATCATTTTGACTTCAACTTTAACTGTGTAAGTAATGATGTAGTTAAAATTGGGAGATCAGACCATGTATTGTTACATCAAAATACAGCAGGTAAATGCAAATAATCAGGAGGCAAAAAGCAGCAGTACACCCCATTTTGAAAAATATGATTTTTATCCATTTCTTAGTGAATATTTGTAAAATATTTTGATGCATTTGAACTAAAAAGCTTTATTAAACAGGTGTTCATTAACATAAGAGTTTGCTCACAGAATATCTTTAGAAACATATATACATTTACATATACATTTATATTTAAATTCAAATGAAACATAACAAAAAACTATTTTATAAGTCATTTTTAGTTTCTCTTGAATATTATTATATTTTTAATGTATTTTTCCCTTACATTTATGCATTTGGGTGTACAAATTTTTGACCGTTATCATGAGCACTTTTATCAGATAAGCTCCACATTTGGCTTCTGTAATGACTAATCTATTATTTTTTTAAATATTAATTTAAAAGATAGATTTGTGAGTGGTGTACTCGTATATGCTGAGCACTGTATATACAGTATGTACTGTATTTAGACCTTGTCACTGTAAGATGCTACTATAGTCTGAAACAGAAACATTGTTAGGAAAAAGGTGAATAATATTTTTGCACCACATTACCAATATACAGAATATATGTTCATTAATATTTTAGGACTTATAATGGTTCCAGTATCATTCCTGCATGTATATCTTCCTCTATCAATTTTATATTTGTCACCTTAATTTCTGTATTTATTAAAAAGGATGATTAAAAACGTTCAACAGAGGGCAGCAAAGTACTTCAGTATTTTTTGCTCAAGCTTAATGGCAGTTGGCATTGACATCAAGGCTGTGACATTAGCTACAATGTAACATTTTTCTAGCAAAATATCTGATTTATATGCCTTCCTAGGCATTTATTGTTATGCATAATGTTTACTTTGTATGTGTAACATGTTTAATAAAAAAAAGGGGGGGGGGGGTTGTTGGGGGGGTGATGTTGTCCTATCCTATTTTTTTGAAAGTTAGTTTAATCTGCATAATATAATTTGTTGAATTACAACTTCAAATGAGAACAAGATTATGATATACAGTTAAAGACTAAATTATAAGCACTTCTGTGAATTATTATTATTATTATTATTATATATTTTTTTATTTTCTTCATATGTTCCAATAGTAAAGACATTTTTTACAGTTTTTCTTGTATATATTTATTCTAAAGATACTCTTTATTTATTTTAGTTTTCTGAAACCATATAAAAAATGTGAAGCTGCTAATTTCAAATAGGCTGAGTAATACGGCAAAAATGCAATCTCGATAATTTCTTTCCATATTGTACGATAATGATATATATTTTGATTTAAGTTGTTACCCCAACAATGACTGAAGCCACAAAAATAGAGGGTCCTTTAAATGGCATAACATTTTCAGCCGATAAATTTTCGGTGGTCATATCAGTACATATTTAATATCAACACACTTTTAGATTCCCATTGTTTTATATTTCTGCCTCGTGATTGGCTCTTAAGTCAATATAAAGTAAAAAGATCCAGAGCTTATCATTGTCATTGACAAAGTTTTTCACAGTTCGATATAATATAGTTTATCGGCCCAGCCCTAATTTCAATATTATTGTCCCCCTAGGATTGTTTTTTCCGCATGACTACAGAACAAACCACTGTTGTCCAATAACTTGCATAATAAGCCTAACTTGCCTAGTTAACTCAATTAACCTAATTAAGCTTTTAAATAGCACTTTAAGCTGACTATTACATATTGCTAAGCAGCTATTAAAATATTATGTACTCTCATTATGGCAAAGACAAAAGAAGTTATAAGAACTATTAGTATGTGTTTAAATATGTTTTGGAAAAAAGTTATCTTTTAAACAATACTTTTAAATAAAAAAAAAAATTACCATGTAAGTAAATTTTAAAGGGCTAGTAAATTTTTTTCATTTTCTTTAAATATAGGTCCTAAATTTCATTAAAAAATTGACTTTGTGAATCCTGCAGAAATCCTTTTACTTTTTACAATTTACAATGTGAATGTTATCATGGGAAATTAAATCTGTTTGTCTTTCTCTGTGTAGGATTGTCAAGCCTGGATGAAGTGGCCACAGGTGTGCAGGAGATCCTGGCCTATATGATTGCGAAGGACAAAGAAACTCTTACCTATGTCCAGTCACTGTAAGACACAAATTTTATTTTGCAGGCTCACAGTTTATCCTATTCCTTAGTTATCATCAGTCTGTTATCTACTTGTGTGTCTCATGTCTTGCTCACCTGTCACTATGCATCAGCCCTTCGTTTTCTTACCTGTCGCTCTCAATTATGATTGCATGTTTAACTGTGGACGCTTGTATGCTCTCAGGTGTGACAGGAGTGCTGTGACCATTCACTCAGCAGTGTCTAAAACTGCCCTGAAAGAACAGCAGTCACAGCAGGCCGATCAGAAGAGCAAACCAAAAGACATCGCAAAGTTCAGCTTGTACACAGACTTCACCTGCGACGTCCAGCGCATCCAGCACCATCAGGTATAGACATTTTATCTTCTCTAACCGTTCATTCTGCTGACAAGACAAATATGCATCATCTTTTTCTAAACTTTCACAAATCCCTGTTCCACAGTGGGACATTGCAGTTGTTATTTAAACTTAAAATGTCTGGTTTTGTTGTAGTTTCTAATCCTGTGGTCAAATTATAGTTTATTGACATTTATTTTGTCTTAATACAAATAGTAGGAAAATATAAAAGGGTTGTGACTCGTGGGTTTCTTGGGACTTTGTGAGCCTGATGCAGATTTTAATTTCTATTCTTTTCTGACATTTATAAGTCACCTGTTCATTATTAATTTAATTATTTGTTTTATAGAAATGTATTTAACTACAAGCTTTATTTTAGGTGGTGCTCAAGTAGTATAGTATGCTTCACGTTAAACTATTTCAAGTCATTGAAAATAGGACAGATTTTTCTAATACCCATAGACAGGAAAAAATAAAGTAGTGACTACAGGTTGAAGGAAAGTAGTTGAGTAAAAGCAGGGATGTAGCAACCGGGGGTCCCCCTTACTTTTAAAGACAGACCATTTAGAAACCGGTTATTAAGAATGTAATTTTTTGTATTTCATACAGCTGTCCTTCCACTTTTAAAATATCCATTATGCCCCTGCTATTTGAGATGGCTTGATTATCTCTATTTGGAAACAATTCGTAATTTTAGATTGGTTGGGATGATTCTATAGAAAAGTGCATCCGTATAAAATATAACAAATCATCCAAAAGCATAGATCAATTCAATAAAAAAATATATACAATTAAAATTAACAATGTTTTAGCATTTTCCATGTAACAGTATTTAGGTACAGTAATTGAATAATAAAAATAAAAATAATTCAATAAAATTAGAGATTATTATAGTTACAAATGGTACAATTTCTTATACGTGAATGCTTTTAAAATCACTGTACAGTCACAGGCCTCAAAAACAGATGAAAACGATAACTTATAATATAAAATATACACTGTAAAACCCAATAAGTTAAGGTAACTCAAACCATTTGAGGAAACTGACTGCAACAAATCATTTAAGTTCAAAAACTAATTCTAATGAGTACTTTGAACTTAATCCATTTGAGTAAACGAAGCAATTTGAGCAGAGTAAAACCCAATAAATGAAGAAAACTCAAAACAACGGAGTACTGTAAAACCCAATACGTTAAGGCAAATCAAACCGTTTGAGGAAACCGATTACAACAAATCATTTGAGTTAAAAAAACTAATCTATATGAGTTCTGTGAACTTGCTCCATTTATGTTAAAGTAATGAGGTATTTAATTAACTCATTACCTTCAATACTGAGATGCAAACTCTTTTTAAATGTGTAGAATTAACTTTCAGTAAAGTCTGAGTTAACTACACTCATTTCATATGATGAAGGTGACTGTTGGGTTTTACAGTGTACATCACAGGTGTCAAACTCAGTTCCAAAAGGGCCGCAGCTCTGCACAGTTTAGTTCCAACCCTAATTAAACACACCTGATCAAACTAATTGAGTCCTTCAGGCTTGTTTGAAACCTACAGGTAAGTGTGTTGGAGCAGGGTTGAAACTAAACTCTGCAGGGCATCTTCCCAAAATATGTCGAATATCTCACATTTTTGGCATTCTTAAGAGAAATGTGTTGAATTTTGATTCGTCATGTGTGTCAATGTACATAAGTTTTTTGTACAGATTTCAGCAGTATGTGGTATTGTATTTACCATTTTAAAATGTAAATTGATTAACAAATGTGTAATTTAAGTAGTAAATGATCAGTGGACACAGACAGACAGACAGACAGACAGACAGACAAACAGATAGATAGATAGATAGATAGATAGATAGATAGATAGATAGATAGATAGATAGATAGATAGATAGATAGATAGATAGATAGATAGATAGATAGATAGATAGATAGTTAGATAGACCGACATACAGATAGATAGATAGATAGATAGATAGATAGATAGATAGATAGATAGATAGATAGATAGATAGATAGATAGATAGATAGATAGATAGATAGATAGATAGATAGATAGATAGATAGATAGACAGACAGATAGATAGATAGATAGATAGATAGATAGATAGATAGATAGATAGATAGATAGATAGATAGATAGATAGATAGATAGATAGATAGATAGATAGATAGATAGATAGATAGATAGATAGATAGATAGATAGACAGACAGACAGATAGATAGATAGATAGATAGATAGATAGATAGATAGATAGATAGATAGATAGATAGATAGATAGATAGATAGATAGATAGATAGATAGATAGATAGATAGATAGATAGACCGACAGATAGATAGATAGATAGATAGATAGATAGATAGATAGATAGATAGATTGATTGATTGATTGATTGATTGATTGATTGATTGATTGATTGATTGATTGATTGATTGATTGATTGATTGATTGATTGATTGATTGATTGATTGATTGATTGATTGATCGATCTCTATTACCAACACCCCCTCCTTTTAGGAGGACTGTCCATCTATCTATCAGATATCCCCCTACAGTTTTTCCTCAGTCGCTTTAGTACATTTCTCAGATCAGAATTGAAATTCTCAAAACTCCCTGTTCAATCTTGAGATCATTGTGTCACTTGTGCACATCAGAAAAGCAGCCTCTCATTCCATTGAACAAGTTGCAAATGCTTTTGTACATATATGCAAATGATTATGTTAAATTCTCAGTTCTTTCCTACGTTATAAGTTGCTTTTGCCATGTTGATCAAAAAGTATTACTTTGGTCTTGGTTGAATAATCTCACCCCCTACAACATTTAATGGTTTGTTCATAGCTGAGTCTTTACAGGCAAAATGATCACGGTGTAAAGTAACAAATTTCGAATACTCAACCTACTGTTATTGAGTAGCTTTTCCTTGAAATTGTAATTTACTAAGTAGTTTTAAAAATGTGTACTTATACTGTTCCTTGAGTTTCTTCCTACATTTTTAATACAGTATGTGTACTTTTATGGTATACATAATATCGAAATATATATTGCAGAATTAGAAAATATCACAATGTTAGATTTTTTCAACATCATACAGCCCTATTGTGGGCTGTAGGTAGAATCCCAGGTTCTCTGATGTATGTGTCAATGGCGTCCCCTTCCCCCTCTCTCTCACTTTATAGTTCCTCAGAGTTGGTTGTGGGCCACATGTCACAGTGACTCTGTCATTCTCTTCTCCCTGCATTCGTCTCTCTCACCCCGTTCCCTGTCCCCCCAGTCATTCCCGATCTCCCCCTCTTAACATATGTGACGCGTCCCCATCCACGTGCCTGTGGATTAAAGGCTAGGATTGACAGACGCTGCTTCATGATGACAGCCGCTCTTGGGCTCGGTGTGGAAGGAGGGGGATTGAGGCGCGAGGGTGAGACTTACAGGGACAAAGAGCGAAAGAGTGGCGACGAGATCTGCCGTCAAGCGTACAGTTTACCCCAATGTTAATCCGCTGATGTGGATTGTCAGTGAGTGTTAATTTGAGTTCGTTGTGACCTGCGAGCTGTCACACTCCGGCTAAAATGAACCTTTTTGTGGTTTTGCTTGGGAAGAGTGGGCAATGTATTTTGACAGGAGGCATGTGTGTACACACGTACTAGCTTGTTTAATTTAACACATCAGTTGTGAGAGTGTATTAAGGACAGATGTGTGTGTGTGTGTGTGTGTGTGTGTGTGTGTGTGTGTGTGTGTGTGTGTGTGTGTGTGTGTGTGTGTGTGTGTGTGTGTGTGTGTGTGTGTGTGTGTGTGTGTGTGTGTGTGTGTGTGTGTGTGTGTGTGTGTGTGTGTGTGTGTGTGTAAATAGGTCTGGGCAAAGTGGGTGTTAAAAGATTTGGTGTTCTTTGGTGACTGTTTTTATTGGGCCATGCATTAATTTGTACGTTAGCAGAATTTTTATTATTTAATTTCGGTTGAATGAGACTTTAATTAATTAAGCTTTAAAGAAAAGAAAATTACAGACTTTTAGTTTTCCTGTGTAATTCAATTGTCAAATACAAGATGATTCTGAGTGAGAATTAATTCAAATTAAATTATCCCCAAATTTTCTGATGAATAATTATTTTGCATATTTTAAGGGATGAAAGAGGATCATAGACGCATTAAGAAGATGAACAACTAGATAACCTAATTTATTGATAATCCAGATTGCACTTTTTAAGAACAAATAAATTTTCAAGTTTACCCCCCCCCATCCCTTTTGTAACTATAATGTTTTGTAATTTTTTGTTATTATAAAACAGTTTTTCCCATCTATTTGTACACTTTTGTGTCCTATATATAGACTCGGATAATAATAATATCTTATTTTAATTTTTAAAGATTTATAGAGTTTTATATATACAGTTCAAATCAGATTTATTAGCCCTCCATTTAATTATTTTTTTTTCTTTTTTAAATATTTCCTAAATGATGTTTAACAGAGCAAGGACATTTTCACAGTATGTCTGATAATTTTTTTTATTCTGGAGAAAGTCTTATTTGTTTTATTTCGCCTAGAATAAAAGCGGTTTTTAATTTTTTAAAAACAATTTATAGTCAAAATTATTAGCCCCTTTAAGCTAATTTCTTTTTGATAGTCTACAGAACAAACCATCGTTAATCAATAGCTTGCCTAATTACCCTAACCTGCCTAGCTAACCTGTTTAACCTAATCAAGCCTTTAAATGTCACTTTAAGCTGTATAGAAGCGTCTTGAAAAATATCTAGTCAAATATTATTTACTGTCATCATGGCAAAGATAAAATAAATCAGTTATAAGAAATGAGTTATTAAAACTATTATGTTTAGAAATGTTGAAAAAATCTTCTCTCTGTTAAACAGAAATTGGGGAAAAATAAAGGGGCTAATAATTCAAGGGGCTAATGATTTTGACTTCAACGTGTATATGTATATCACTGATGAAAACCACAGGCTTGTGAATAATATATGCATGTTATTTTACTTCTGTGGCCTTTTATTTTATTGTTTCCTAATTCTAAAATTGTTTAATAATAATAATATTAATAGGTATATTAAATATTTTAATAGTTTTTTTATAACTAAATTTGTTAGATTTTCACAACAGTACAGACATAACAAAACATC